TATCTTTATTATCATGAAAATGATTTGTTATAGATACTTACACCCTGTTGCAATGAGTTTTGGAGATGCTATTATAGAATATTAATTATGCTTGAGAATCCTCTTGTCCTTTGAAATACTTAAATGATAAAGATTCGACCACTTGAAGTTGGTCATTCTTCCAAAGGCCCGATATGATTGGCTTCACTTACGGCTACCAGATTTTAAATCTGTCAATGAATATAATTCAGGAATATTCAGAATTACTTCTCAATTAACATTATGTGGTGAAAAAAATTACTGATAAAGACATGTTAGAGAAAACATTTTTTACTTTTCATGTCTCTAATATACTCCTGCAGCAGAAATATAGAGAGAAAGGATTTAAGAAGTATTCTGAACTTATTACATGTCTCCTCTTGGCTGAACAAAATAATGAATTATTATTAAAAAATCATGAATCCCAACCAACTGGTGCTAGTTCATTCCTGAAGCGAATGCGACTCAACCTCAAAATTTTGGTCGTGGTCGCAGACATAGACGTAAATATGGTCGAGGAGGCCGAGGACGTAGTCGTAGCCGTTGACGCGGACGTGATAGATTTGTGCCTTATGACAATAACCGTGGCAAATAACAAAATATCCCTCAGAAGTGGGATAATAACAATGATCAGATAAATGCTATCGGTGTGGTATGGAAGGTCATTGGTCCCATACATGTCGTACAACTGACCACCTTATTGACCTTTATCAAGCATTTTTTAAAAATAAAGACAAAAATATCGAGACAAATTTTATTGACCAAAAGGATGCTTATGATGATAATGATGCTGACATGACACACCTGGATGTTGTTGATTTCTTTGAGTATCCTGGAGATGCAAAATGATCATACATTAAATATTTAATATTTGTTCAGATGTTTGATATGTTGTTAGTCCTGCATATTTTACTTTGCAAATATCTATTCTCGCATCTTTTATTAATGTTTATTTTTGTTTATTTTCTTCCTGATGAAGAAATGGATATCAAATTGAGACATTAAATGAGACAATAATAAAGATCATGTTTAGAAATAGTTGTCTTCATATTATCATGTTATCAATTTACTAATCAGCACGTTACCATATTTATCGATATAGTTGTCTTCATTCTCCTTTGATTTATAATCATCACCTGCAGTAAACCAGAAGTTTACCAATCCCAATGTATATATGATTTGGCAAAAGTGAGAATATTTGAATGTCAACAAATATTTACACATACCCCCTTTATATTATACATGATTTCAAAAGAAATTTATGTCGGGTATGCAAAGATGAGCTACGATTCTCGACATTAGGGGGAGGCAAAGATCAACCAAAAGGAAATCATCTGAAAAATTGAATTTCCTCGATTCTCATACAAAATAATGTGAACTAGAAGTTCAAGAAATTCTTCATTTGAAGAAAGTTATATTTATCGACTCCAGAAGAGTCATTAAATCAACTATTCCTGCAGGAAATACTCTTGTTAAAATTGATGTCCCTGAAGGACATGCACAAGTGCTACAAATAAAGGCCGGTCTACCTATATAAGGTATAAATTGATTTCAAATATCTCTGGAGATTAAATAAATGTCATGACAAAATTTAATCTCTTGAAAAGGCCGCTCTTGAATAGCCAACTTCTAAAGAGAATAAAATTATAGAAAATTTAATTGAAACCTAATGAAATGTAGCACTTGATATTATAGAAATTGATGAGAATCATGAATCTAGATCGGTTGATGAATGTCTGCATAGAAATGATTGGCCAAAATGGAAAGATGTGATACAATCTGAATTAGATTCACTGGCGTTTTTGGATCTGTAGTCCAAACACCTGAAGGTGTAAAGCTAGTTAGATATAAATGAATTTTTGTGAGGAAAATGAATGAAAAGAATGAAATTATGAGATATAACGTAAGACCTGTAGTCCGAGGTTTTTCTCAAAAGCTTGAATTTGATTATGATAAAACGTATTCACTTGTAGTGGATACGATCACATTTAGGTATCTTGTGAGTTTTGCAGTGTATGAAAACTTGATATGCGTATGATGGACGTTGTCACTGCTTATTTGTATGAAAATCTTGAAAATGATATTTATATGAGAATTTCTGAAGGATTCAACATGCCTGAAGCATGTAAATCAAATCCTGGAGATGTGTATTCTATTAAAATACAAAGGTTTTTGTATGGGTTCAAGTAATTTGGACGTATGTGGTATAACCGCCTCAATATATGCTTAACTAAAAAAGGTTATACCAATGACCCAATATGTCCATTTTTTTATCAAGAAAAATAGGTCAAATTTTGTGATTATTTCTATAAATGTTAGTGATCTCAATTTGATTGGAACTCCTGAAGAGATCCAAAAGGCTGCCGAATATTTGAAAAAAAAAATTGCGATCAAAAATTTTGGAGAGACAAAATTCTACCTTGGTTTACAAATTGAGCATTTAAAAAGTAAAATTTTTGTCCACCAAACTGCTTATACCCAAAAGATATTAAAGCGATTATGTATAGATAAAGCACATACATTAATTACCCCAATAGTCGTCAGATAATTAGATTCTAATAAGGATCCTTTTAGGCCACGAGTGGAACATGATGAGATATTTGGTCCTGAAGTACCATATCTCTATACAATTGGTATGCTTATGTATCTTGCTAATTCTACAAGGTCAGATATATCACTTGCTGTGAATTTATTAGTAAGATTTAGTTTTTCGCCTACAAGACGATATTGGAATGGTATTAAACACATTTTTCGCTATCTCCAAGAAGAAAAATCCTCCAACAATTTTATATGAAAATAATGTAACTTGTATAGCTCAATTAAAATGAGCTATACTTTAAAGGAGATAGGACGAAACACATTTCACCGAAATTCTTCTTTACTCATGATTTGCAGAAGAATGGTGAGATTGATGTGTTACAATCCAATCGGATAATAGTTTGACAGATTTGTTTACCAAGGCATTGCCAACTGCTATAGAATATTGGAATACGTCAGCTAAAAGATCTCAAATAATGTTTGTATCAGGGGGAGAAATCATTACACAAGAATAGTATACTCTTTTTCCTTCATTAGGCTTTTGTCCCATTAGATTTTTCCCTAATAAGGTTTTAACGAGGCATATTCTTTATGTAATGGATATCCAAGGGGGAGTGTTATAAAATAATTATAAGATGTGGATGTCCGTTTATATTCTCAAGAAGGAAGATACATGTATTTTCTCTAGATTCATTGATACATTGGATGAATCCATTTATGGATGTACTCGATGTACTAAATTCATGTATTAGTATTTAATAGGGTTCTTGTACATTTGATTTTGGATCATCTATATATAGGGGTGAATCCTATTACATTTGTAATCTTGAAGTACTTTGATCAGTGAATAGAATAATACTCCCTCCGTCCCACTTTGATAGTCCTGTTTTCCTTTTTCGTCTGTCCCAAATTGTAGTCCACTTTCCAATTGAAGAATGTAGTTGTATTTTAATTTTTCTAAAATGCCCTTATTAATGTAAGTTGTTGTTATTATAAACCTACCCCATTTAATGAAAGTTGATTCCTTTTTTACCATCAATTCAAGTTCCCATAAAGTTGTATTCTATTTAATGTGAGGGTATTTTAGGAAAATAGCAATCTAAATTTACTTTTCCAACAAAGTTAATTATTTTTTCTTAAACTGTGTGAAAAAAGAAACAGAACTCTCAAAGTGGGACGGAGGGAGTATTATAGTTCTTCTCTCTCTCCCTGCTTCTCACTCTACTATTCCAATCCCTACGTTAGTAATTTATTTTATTAGTTTCACAACACTATTGAATAGCATGTGTACAACTTTGATAAGTCTATTTAGGTGAAATCAAATAAAAATATATTACATGATATGCATATTGTTCAGGTGAAATCAAATAGACATATACATGGATTTAAAGCAAAAAAGCTATTTCATACATATGATCAATGAGGGATAAAAATTCTATTTTGAAAAATGTGAGGGATGAAAAAATTCATTTTGTGAAATGTAAAGGATGAAACAATTTATTTTGTAAAATGTTAGGGACGAAAAAATTCATTTTATAAAATGTGCGGGATTATGAATCGGATTATGTAAAATTTGATTTAATAATTTTGTCTTTAAAAAATAATCACATGCAAGGCACATGATATATTCCGGCCAAAATCTAGTCGAAAACATAGGTAAGGGCCAAATTTGACAAATGTGAATTTGTAAGGGACGTAAAATTACACTTTTAAAAGTAAGGAATGAAAAAAAATCATTTTGTAAAATGTGAGGGGCGTTTTGAACGATTTTTTCTAAAAAGTAATAAGCACATGCAAGAAATAAAAAGTGAAAGGAAAAAGTAATTAAAACTATTGTATAATAAAATTTAATCGTATAATAGATTTTCTAATTTCAAAAGCTACAAATAAATCCAAAAAAATCAGTTGAGAGAGCAAGCACTTATAAAAAAAAAAAGTGATAAGCATATGCAAGAAATTAAATGATGTGTGAATATTGTGTTTGGATTGAGTTTTGTTTACAAACATTTTTTGATTGCGTTACATACACGTTTTTCTATAATATTTTTATCTTACATATGTTACATGACAAAAAGTATTATATACATTGTATCACAAAAAGTACTACAGTATTTTTTCAAAATTTTATTCCAACTAACCTTCCATTCAAACACACTTTTTAGCACGAAATAACAAAAAAAAAAAAACTAAAATTTGAAAAAAAAATGCAGTATTGGAAATCGGATCCTCCTTGGAGCACCCGAAAATATCTATTATCCACAAGGATAATGGACAAGTTTCCAGCCAAACATGAAAACGACCATAGTTGGCAGTCAAAGGATAGACTGAGAGAGCAGAGGGGCCTTCAATCTTCTCCTCCAATCATTTAAGGTCAGAAACTCTACCTTTTAAACTCGTTTTCAGTGGCATTTACTAATTCCAATTCTTGAAACTAAGTTGTTTACTTGAAATTCTGATCAAGAACTCTAAAATATTTGATTATGTGGTAGGCAAAAGGCTCAGTTTGTACTAGTACAATTATGCTCATGAACATTTTTTGCTAATTGGATCTTAAGGGCTTCATCAAAATCACAAATTTAATGCGAAAAATGGTTTGCTGGATAACTGGTTGTGGTTTTTGGGAATTTTACAAGATATGAGCTTTTGAGGAGTTCTTTTGAGAATAAAGATGGACTGCAGATTGTGCAGTGGCTTTCTGGGATGTCTTTTAATGTCCCTTTTGGGGGTTCTTGTGATTTTCTATTGCAATCTTGATAGGGGAATTGTTTAGGAATTATTTTAAAGTCATGGGGATTCAACTTGAAGAAGTAACTAACTTATCAATTTCACAAATGTAAGTTAAGTTGTAAATTTAAGGTTTTCCTTTAAATTTTGCACGGGCTATACAATTTGCTAGGCTGAGGAGTTGATACTGGCGCCATCATCAGGGAAGTACTTAGATGTAGAGAAGATTGGAGAGACCAACGTAATTGTCATGGGCATTTTGATTTGCCAGCTTATGAGAACTATTTGCAGGTCTAATTTATCATTTTTGGAGGATAAAGTGAGAATCACTCCCCAAAATTCCTCAGCTGGTATCCTGGAGGAGATGGTGTGATATCTCATTTACTCTTATCATATTGTATAATCCACCAGGTCAATATACCTTAGCATTCCTATAACTGTCCTATCACACTTGCAAGATTAAAAATCTTAATTTTGCCAGAAAGCTGGACAATTGGGCATCCTGCATGTTAAAAAAAAGAAAGAACTACACTCTTGGTATGTAATTCAATGTGTTCAAGATGAAAGTAACCATGTTATTGAATTTGGTGTACTGTTTCTGTTTCCTGAATTGAGTTGTCCTTTCCTCACTGAGCTTACAGATATAGTGTTGGAGTATTAATGTTCTTTTTATTAGGCCACTGTTTGAGATTCTACTGTTAACTAATAAGTGGTGGCTTTGCCTTAAAAACCAGCACATTTCAGGATGCTCTCTCGCTTGCTCTTATTTATTACTTGGTGCCTCACTGATATATGATCCTTGAAAATGTTGCTTAAGGTTACAAGTCAAACTTTTACTCCTAGAATACTACAATCGAGCTCTCTTGTGTTGGAAAAGTTAGAATACGTATCAGTCTACATATTAAAATACTTCACATATACTCTTAATTTAGCAACCAATGTATTCATTAAATAAATCAATAGCGAAAGCTCTAATCAACATAAACACTAACTAAACAAATAACCCTACAGCTGGGCATGTGTGAGGCCCCCATTTAAATAGTGTGTGTGTGTGTGTTGTTGCTCCTTTTCTTTAGACGCATGATAGCTTTTTGTTAGGATTTTATGATTTCCCAAGCATATATCTCCTTGAGTCAAATTTTCACAGCTAGAAGCTGAACCTTTTTTAGTTTTAAATTTAGGAAGTTTGTGTGTTTTATTTAGTTGACTGCTGATAATGTATTGGGAAACCAAAATATTTCCCAATATAGAAAATCTAGGTTGTGACTGTAGGAGAAAATCCAACATAAGACTACTCTAGAGTCAACTGAGAAATTTCTGAAATTTGATGTTATTGAGCAATTGATGGAGCTGTTGGAGCCTTGCTACCTTAACCATAACTAGAACTAAGCCTGGTAGATCTTGAAAATGATACTTGAGCTTTAGATTATTTTCCTGCATATCATTCAACTCAGTTCTGAATTCTGCAGAATCGCCTCATTGAAGTTCATTGCAGAAGGTTTCACAAATTGTCATTTGCATTTAGTCTTCTAGATAGTTCAAGAGTTCGATATTCTTTCAATAACATTCAATGTAAGAGATTCTTATGCAGACTTATGGTAGTACAAGTCAAACATAAAAATCTGGGTAAATTTGTTTTCTCTAATGCTTAATTATCGACATCTTTTCATTATTGCTAATGGTCTTGTTGGCTACTTCATCAAAATGCATTAGGTTGAATTTGTATTGTGCACTGAACTGCCTTTTCAATAGTTGAGAGTTGAACAAACTTTGATTTTGTATCCACTAAATTTTTCTTGGTTCCTTACTTCTAGCTTACATGGCCACTTATTTTAACTTTCTGATATATAAGCAGAATGGGAAATCCTAAGATTTGGGTTCTACATTAATATTTACACCATTTACACCAATCAAGTATCTTTCCACAGGTAAAAATATCAGAATAAGGCTGAATACGTGCTTGCAGTAAAGCAAAAGCCGGAAAAGCAATGGCTGCTGAAGATAGAAACCTCATTGAAATTCTGGAAGAGAATCATCCTATTGATATCAGCAAATACATTAGTTTTGTTCATTCACCACAATGTGGTGCAATAGCAACTTTTGCTGGCACAACACGTGACAACTTTGATGGCAAGACTGTCTTGGAACTTAGATATGAAGCATATGCCACCATGGCAGTACGCTGCATTAAATCAATTTGTTCAGCTGCCCGATCAAAATGGAATGTCCATTCAATTGCAGCTGCTCATCGCTTGGGTACTGTCCCAGTAGGGGAAACCAGCGTTTTTGTTGCAATCTCCTCTGCTCATCGTGCAGATGCACTGGATGCTTGTAAATTTCTGATTGATGAAATCAAAGCATCTGTTCCAATATGGAAGAAGGAAGTTTATACTAATGGAGAGGTCTGGAAGGAAAACTCGGAGTTTTTGCAGAGGTTGGAACTTGGTAAGGATGAGAAAGCCAAGAACAGAGTGTACCGCAGTGGAAAACTCGAAGTGGAGGAGCATGAGAAACGGGGATGTTGCGGGGAAAAGGTGAAGGTAAATGATGAAGCAGCAGATTCTTGTCGCAATGAAGAAGGGTCTGAACAGACAGAACCTTTCCCTAGTCTATCCAAGGTTCAGAAAGATTGAGCATGCTTCTGAATATCAAGCAACTTCTTGACAATAAGATGATTGAGCCTCCAAGAATAAATAAACTTGCGCGTATTCATGCTCTCTAAATTCTTCAGCTTATGGCTCGACGGTCGTTGTAATATTAAAGGATCAGATAACGTTTGGGATTATAATAATAGACCTTCATGCTTTCCTTGGGTGGATATGCCTTCAGAATTGCTGAAAAAATAATGTGGTTTCTTTTTTAAAGAAAGCCATTTCAGTTTGATGTATCCGTAACATATCAAGTTTTAGAGGTAGCTACGGAATATTTTGATTGAAACAAATGGACTAAGCATACAACACTGAAACTTGAAGGAAAATAATTGCAGGTGAAGATCTGTAATGAAACAAATAGCGTTCAAATTTGTAAGTGAATCACTCTTTTACTAACGTCGCAAAAAAAAAAAAGGTGGAAACAAATGAGTAATCCCATTTGCAATTTGCAAATGATATGCTGCAGTAAATCAAACTAGTACAAAAGGTCCTTCGTGCCATAGAAACATGGTGGACAAAATGCAAAAATTACTGCAAAATGATGATATCAAATCAAATGCACCATGCCAAAATATGGCTGTTAGCAACAGCTCCATCATCTGGATGGGGAATACAGAGCCTTCACCTGTTTTCTGCAGCGCCAGAGTTGAAGCTAAGCAAGAGCTTTGCATAACCTTAGACCAAATTTTTACTTCCTACGGAGACCAAAAAGAAAGAGAAGAATTTGCTCTGATAAGCGACTCATTTTATCTTGAAAAGAATTTTCAGCTTTTTAACCAAGCACCAATCTTTTGAAGACATACTTTCCCTATAGTTGGCTTTTAGGATATCGATTGACCTCCTTGAGATATGGCTGACAAGCTCATCTTCAATCTCAAAATGCCTTCCAAGCATTTTCTGTCGCTCCCCAGGATTACTGCCAACTATCTTAATGGCCACCATTTGGCCTTCCTTGGCATAGTCGACTGGTTTTTTGTTGTTCTCAATGGATGCAATCCGACCAACATCAGTAAGCTCCTTTCCTGCAACACATATTGGAGTTCCAACCTTCACAGTACCTTCAACAACTTCCACCCCCAGTACAATGGGATCTTTCTTGTTGAACACATACTTCGGTACAGGTTTAAGACGACAAGGGAATATTGCATCATCAGCATCTGCCTTCTTCTTCTCCTCATTGAGACAGCCTGTAATGGCCTTAAACTGATCAACCAAGTGATAGATAATATCCCCACGCAATATCTTGACCCCAAGTTTTTGAGCAAGTTCCTGAACCTTTGGCTTGACCACAACATCAAAGGCCAAGACTGTAGCATACTCTTTTTTCCTCTCTATCATGACACTCACCTTCCTGACATCTCTCTCATGTACAGGACCCACTCCTATATTCGATACAGGTACATTCACTCCTGGAGTCTTCAAGAATTCCAGCAGTGCTTCCAGTGATCCAAGAGTAGAAGCTTGAACATGCACTCCCACACTACTGGTACCAATCCTGTTCATGACATATCTCATATCCTCCATTGCTGCTTCCTTAACATATTCTAAATCATCATCTGGCCCCAGAACATGCATCTCAGTGCCAGCAATAGCATGTTTAAGACCCTGTGCAGCAATCTTAATACCCTGTGCAGCCTTGATTTCTTTGTGATGCACAAAAACTCCCTTCACCCGGAGCTCTTTCATCGGATGCGGTGTCAGTATGGCTCGAATATTGGTAAGTATAGGACCTTTCATGCCACAAACAACTATTCGATCCCCTTCACGAAGGACACCATTAACCAAGACCACATCAATGGTTGTTCCATATCCTTCGACAACCTTTACCTCTAAAATAATACCCTGAACCTGGTTCTGATAAGTAAGCTTCTCAATCATTGTCTTTTGAGCCCATTGCACCAATAACAGTAACAAGTCAGGGATCCCTTCACCAGTAATTGCACTAGTAGGCACAATGCTGAAAGTCTCCCCCATCTCTTTGTTCTTATAGTACAATTCAGTGTTCAATCCTTGCTCCTTGAATTGTGCGATAACCTGATTCAGCCTATTCCCAAATTCAATGTGAACATCTTTAGACTGTTGCTTCATTGCCTTCAAAATGGGTGCATTGGGGCAAATTTTCCATCCATACAATCTGTCCACCTTGTTCAGGGCCACAATAAATTCTGTGCCCCTCATCTTCAAAAGGCTCAGTGATTCGATGGTCAGTGGCTCCAACCCATGCATAATATCCACAACCAGGATTGCAATGTCACATAGACCTGATCCACGAGACCTCAAATTGGCAAAAGACTCATGTCCAGGAGTGTCAATAACCAGCAAACCGGGCACATTCAGCTTTGCATCAGCTTTTAATTCCTTGGTTCGCTTGCGAATATTCTGGACTGGGAAGAATGTTGCACCAATTTGTTGAGTAATACCCCCAGCTTCGCCTTCTTGAACTTTAGTACTCCGGATGCAGTCAAGTAACTTGGTCTTTCCACTATCCACATGCCCCAGAATGCAACAAATAGGCGACCGAAGGCCATTACTTACATCCTGGCTGCAGGGGACAGGCAGCAGAGAATTTGACTCCGGAGCTTCCTCTTCAACAGAATTTGCTCGCGGCCCAAATTCCTCTACACCCTCAGCCTCAGGCTTGGCATCATGCTCTACACCATCAAGGTCAAAATCATCCCAATTTTTGGCATCCCATTCTTGATCTTGATCACCTTCATCTGCATTCTCCTTCTCAACTTCAGTATCCTGATTTTCTGAGCTAGAAATGTTTGGCTTTGGGTTTTTGGTTTGATACACAGGCCTTTTTGCATCCTGTGTACCATCAAGTTCAAAATCATCCCAACTTTTGGCATCCGATTTTTGATCTTGATCATCTTCATCTTCGTTCTCCTTCATAGCTTCAGTACCCTGATTTTCTAAGCTAGAAATTTTAAGCTTCGGGTTTTTGGTTTGACACACGGGCCTTTTTGCATTCCCTTCAGACGAAAGCAAGAGGCCCTCATCAGCATTGGCAAGAAACTGATTCCTCATTGATTCCAATCTCCGAGCTTCTTCTTTCTGCTTTCTTGTTAACAACTTCCCTTCCTGTTTCTTCTTCAACATTTTCTCCTTTTTCCTCTCCTTCTTTAGCCTCTTCTTTTCTTCTTCAATTCTTTCCAATTCCTCCTGTCTCAGCCTCTCCTCTTCTTCTTTCTTCAACTTCTCCTCCTCTTCCCTTTTCTTTCTTTCTTCAATCTCCTTCAGTTTTGCCAGCTTTTCTTGAATTTCCCTCACATGCTTCGGGACTTTCTTGTCCAAAACTTTTGCCTTGTTCTTTTCCTCCATCAGAATTACAATCTTGACTAGTTCTACTTCAGAACTTCAAGAATCAAATTCTAGACTATCAGAAAGCAAAAAAAAGGGGAAACATTTCCAATTAGCTTGAGCAGTAGTACCTTTAAAAGGGGTGGAAACTTGAAGATCAAGAAACTAAAATGGTTAAGCAAACTGCGTAATCCTTTTTCACCTTTGCTATTTTGATTAGTGCTGAAGTGGACTTCCACATGTTACAAAAGTTCCTAAAGTTACAACCAATAGTATAATTACTGGGGTTGCAAATGAGTTCAAACTGGAACTTGAACGCGGGCCTAATTGGAAAAAAAATTAAGCATAATATTCTTTAAATGGATAATATAAATATTTCACCCTAATAAATATATAAATAAAATAAATATATATACTTGATATTAGGGTCGGTGAGCTTTCAAGTAGAGATAGCAATTGGGGCGAGTACACGCGGGTGTTAATAGAACGGGGTAAAATGCTCCTCCAGTTAAAAAACGGGGTGGGGACTATATCCCCACCCTATCCTCCACCGCATCCCTCGCTTAAATAAAATAATATATATATTAATTATATACATCACATATTTAATATTATTAGTTATAAATATCAAATTATGCATATGTAATACAATTAATATTATTAGGTACACTAATAATTATATATTTATATTAATACAAATTATTGATTAGTTATACTAATATATTCATACTAAATTACTAATCACAAGTTTTACTAATCTACATTTATTCTATTAGATACTTTTTATGAATTATACATTTATACTAAATTATGAATTATATTTTTTACTAATTATATATTTTTATTAATTATAAACTTTCCCCCCACAGGCACCCGCGGGAGAAGTTGGGCGGGGAGGCTCGTTGTCATCCCTACTTTCGAGTCAAAGAGTATTTTTTCATTTAAACCGTTACATAAGCTTCTCAATCTTGACTTGAGTCCAATCGGCATTGAGTCGAGCCATTTATTCCTACTATTACAGTGAAACATGCTTGAATGAAAATTTTAGCAAGTCTAGTGGCCTCTAGCTTCCATTTTACAAGAAACGAAAAAAAATTATTGATGCTGTCCTTAAAAAGGGGGGGGGGGGGGGGAGGGGAATTTTTGAACAAAAAGTTCTATTGGGTGCCAAAGGCCCAAGTAAATAAAAATACTTTACCACTCAAATACATACACTCAAATTTATTTCCCCCATTACAGATTTACAGTCACTTCCAATTGTAAATTTACTTTTTTAAAAGACTGACTCCTGATGCTAATTAAGGAGTACTCCAGCCAGTTGTTGGACAAATTTTACCATAAAAGATATAAAAGATGAAAGAGTTAAACTTTTTACTAAAATCTATGAGTTTAGCCATGCAGAGTTAAAGGCCCTGGGGACCTTTGAAGTTTGATTGGAAAAGGGGATAAAATAATTTTGTTGTTTATCAGTTATAAATGGGAAAAGCTTCCCATTTTCGATCAGGGCTTAAGAGGGTTTGAGCTAACTCACTTGCCTGAGTCTTCTTGCCTAGTTTAGCCAAGCACTTGAGAAAAATTGAACTGTTTAAAGAATCCTCTTAATTATGCTTGAACAAAAGCTTTCTCAGTTCTAGATCATCCCCCAAAAGGGTTTGGAGCAAACTCAGTTTCAAACAAAAAGGACCTGAGATCATCCATTGTTGCTGCCTAGAGTTCAGCCAAGTGTAGAGAAATCTCAACAAATCTGAACTGTGAAGAAAAGCATTCAAGACCAGTCTAAACACTTAACAGTTTGATCAGGGGAGACGCAAGATATACCACCATGTTTCCTGTTTAGTCAGTCAACTTTGGTTAAAGTTAATCCTCAAGGATTTCTTGATTACTAAATT